TTTTTTTAGTAATGCACAGGATGATAAGGGACTGCTAAGCGTACAGGTTGGGGAGTTCAAGTCAAGTCTTAGCTAGTATCTCTACCATCTCCATAGTAAATAATTTACGAAGTACCGATGAGAATGATGCTGATTTAATAATTTATAATATTCCGTCATCTCAAAGAAAAAGGATATATGTATCTACCTATGTGTTTATCTAGACAGTAAATATATATTTGAATGAAATCTGGCTTGAAGAAAGGCCAGAGGTAGAGAGGTAGAGAGAGGTAGAGAGCGATATAACAAGACTACACAATAAGTATGACCATTGATCAATTGTATTAAATAAACTAGAATACAAAGGCTGAGGTAGAGACCAGCCTGTAGACAGATAGATAGTAGGGTAGTACAGATCAAACAAGCAAATCAAAGAAAATAGAAGGTCAGCTGCATCCTGCATCCTCGGGGTGCCTGTTTGGTGATGGTAGGAGCAGTAAAGGGAGAAGGAGGATGGGGGGACGGAGGCGGAGATGTGTGGAAGCGATACAAAGGAGGTAGGCAGGCAGTAGAAAGGACAATTGTCGGATGATTGGTTGGATAAAAGCAGCAGACAAGAATTTGCAGAAGAATGTAATAATAAGTTTGTTGGGAAAGACGATGAAGGAGGTGAAGGATAAGGGCAAGTGATGGCAGGGGGGTGGGAAAGAAATATAGAAGACAGACAGCAGAAATGAAGTGTAGTGAAGTGAAGTGAAGGGTCCAGGGCAAAAGGATTAAAATCAATGATAGAGATGGTTGTTGAAGAAAGAAAAGGAATCAATGAGAGAGAACAAGTGGGGGTCATATCGCACTACTAGAGGCATGATATGCAGACCGTGAGACGCTCAGTGCTTCTCGCACGAGCAAGGCTCCGGCTCCGGCTCTGGCTCCGGCTCTTGAACAACGCACACTTCTTCAACAGGGGGCTCTGGGGCAGGGGCAGGAGGGGCAGGAGCGGGAGGGGCAGGGGCAGGAGGCTCATGGGTAGGCGGGGCGGGGGCGGGCGGAGCAGGAGCAGGCGGAGGGGGAGGAGGAGGAGTAGGCTCCGGAGCAGGGGGCGCCGGAGTGGGAGTAGGCTCGGGCTCAGGCTCAGGCTGGGGTTCCGGCTGGGGTTCCGGCTGGGGTTCCGGGGTTGGCTCCGGCTCCTTCTCCGGCTCAGGTGCACTCTCATGATCAGAGTGATGATAGTAATTTCCCATATTGAAGCTAGGTCCATCAGGAATCCCAATAGTCGTACTATGCTTAGCATCGGTCTTATGGGACACGCCGGAGCCAAAGTCGTCACTTCCGTCGTCTTCGTCAGACGAATCAGAAAAGGAGCCGGCGTCATTGTAGTCAGGACCGTCGGGGATACCAGCGCCCCACTTGAAGCCCATGTCGGTGTCTTCGTGGACTTGTCTTTGGGCGAGGGTTTGGGTCTGGGATGTTAGTTTCCTGCTCTATACTGAGTATGGGGTGCGCGGAGGTAGTGTACCTGGGAGATGGGCGCCGATAGGACCGATGCAGGAGCCGAGAGGAGCAGGCACATGAGTGCGGAGAAGGTCTTTGGGTTGTACATGTTGAAGGAAAGAAGAAAGATGTGGAATGAAGGACTGTAGTCAAGCTAGCTGTGATCAAGATACTGAGGAAGGATGAATGGATCAATTCCAAAAGAGAGCTGGAATGGCAAAGGAGAGAATAGCAGAGAGAGAATGAACGGCTGCTGTGACAGTTCAGCTTGGAAATGCTTGATGAGCAAGAATGCAATGAGATCTCAGGAATCCGGGACCCTTTTATAACTATCCAGCAATCCATTGCAGACGTCGATGCCTTCAAAGGCCGAACGAAGGGCCTGGCCGGGCCCTGTCCAAGGGGTCCAACTCTATACCCGATGTGATAGAGGAGTCCCTCGATAGAACCCTAGAAGGGCTATCCCCATCGATAGTCCATAGTCGATAGCCCTATGCAGGTCAGCGCCACAGGCCAGCAAAGATGTCAGCTGCGAGAAGAATGGACAGCTAGGGGACTAGGGGAAAGATGGGGCGAGACAATGGGGATGGATGCAGGAAGGAGAGTTTGGTTGAGGGAGGGCGCAGGTCGATGCAAGGGAGTCGGAACTACCGACGCCTCTCCAGAAAACAGGTCACCATATTTAGTTTCATTCAAAAAGTAAATTACACATGGTTATCGATAGATGCATGAGCAGGAGATGGAAGGAATAAAACATAGGATGGAATAGAAAAAAAAATAAATCGTCTGAAATCGTCACTCATGGTACCCATCCAAATTCGGGAAGAAAAAGAAGACCGAAACAATGGCCTTGTGATATATGCTCGCGTCAAAACTTATGGCCAAATGCGGTGCCAAAGTTTGTGGCGTTCTTGAACCTGAGTTCAGGTTCCTGGCTGGGTGGCTCGGCTCTCTCCTTACGATCGCTCGAGTCCCGCGAGCTGCCCAGGGCCTGCCAGGCCTGGTCGAGGAGTTTCTGATCCAGTTCCTTCAAAAAGCCAGTGTCGTGTTCCTCGTCGTTCAGCAAGGAGAGGGGGCCCGTCAGTGCCGGGTCGTCCGGCAGGCTCGCAAAATACGAGTCGGAGTTTTCTGCAGGTTGCCGCAGCGCATCTGGGGCAAGGGGTGATGGGTCATCACCCTCGTCTGCACCCTCGCTCGCACCCTCGTCCGCGACGTGGGGTGATTTGGTCTCGGCGTCCGAATCCATGACGACCATAGGGGTGTGTCCCGCATCCCTGGTGAGGTTCTTGTCGGGCGGACCTAGTTCCGACAGCCGGAGCTTCAGGCTGTTGCGACGCTCCGATTTCTGGGAGGTCATGGACGGTGACGTCTCGGGGGACCGCGGCGAGGGCGGCGTCATCACGCGGGCGACAATCTCCGGGTGCAAGGCCGACGATTTGAGGGTGATGCCATCGAGTTTGCTGTCGAGCTTTTCGATGGGCACGGGGACGCTGCCGCCTGCAGCAGGGTCGGAGGGGTGGGATTTGGGCGAGAGGGCTGCATCCAGGGACACTGTCAGGTTGCCTCCTTGCTCCGCGATCGACGGGCCAGCGCGGTCTGATTTCTCCGGGTGACCAAACACCCTGGTGGGCGGACTGGAGGGGCTGGTGCCTTCCCACACCTGGGAAGTATTACTCGAAGGGGTCCGGTTCTGTGTTGAGGGGTTTGTGGACAAGGGTGGGAAAGACGATGGTGTCTCCTGATTCTTGAGCTGCGATTCCAATTCGGCGACACGCGCATTCAATATCGCGCGTTCTCGCTCCCACAGCCGCCGCTCGTCGTCAAACAACGTCCGCTGTCGCACCAGGAGCGACCGTGACTCTTCGAGATAATCAACCGCCAGAGGAGAGTATCTTTGCAGCGACCGCGGGGACGCATCGGATTTCAAAACGGAATGGGTGTTAGGGACGGACAGCGCACGACGGATAGGGATCGGGGTCGCGGTCGGCGAAAAGCGCACCTCTTTGTAGAGGCTGCCATGACCGTTGGGGAGCTTCGTAGACGATGACTTCATGGTCGGGTGGATAGGCGATCACTAGGGCGGGGAGCGATCGAAAGTGAGACAACCAGCGGGAGGGACTGAGCCGGGTCGCCTTCTCATAAAGAGGGATGGTGAAAAGGGGGACGGGAGGTTGGTGGTGTGATGTGGTGGACGAAAGACAGGGAATCGAATCAGTCGGGCACGCACTGGACCGCTATCAGTTTCGAGAGATCCAAAAGCTCCAAATCGAGGACGATAGGATAGAATTGTGTCGCCCCTCATGAGACGAACGATTATCCACACCGGGTGGGGAATTTTCCGCCTCTCAGACTAATCGGAACCGTGGGACGGGTCAGGGACGGACCTACACCGTGGCCAGTTGGCGATCGCGCCGTGCTTCTGTGCTAACCTCTGATGCCGTGACAACGAGGAGAATCACCCACGCCTGAACAGCTGTGACCGGGCGCTGGATCGAGGGCGTGGAGAACAAGATGGCGACCACACGGGAGCGAACAAGTGGACGATGCGCTTGACTGCAGTCGAGGGATTCACAGCATCGTTGTTGTCAACAGAGCCTATCATAGGGCAGACCGGGGTGGCTTGGAAACTTCGGTCAACCATGTACGTCGTCTGCGCATCCAATATGCAGACGAATGAAGTGGAGGATGGAGACAGGATGGACGAGAAGATGGAAACAAAGCGTTTTTATCATAGAAAAAAACAGTCGAAGTTGTTGGATGGGCTGCAGCCTGAGGCCGATCACAAGACAGCGGATGATGACGTTATGCCGGATGGATAACGTGCACAAGTGGAGTCTTCGTCCAGCAATCCGGATGATTTCCTGATTTGTTCTGATATTCTCTCGATCTATTGGATTAGGCGAAGTTTATACTGTGTGATTTTCAATAGAGCCAGGAGGATGACAGTTCATACCTCGAAGGCATGAACAGTACGATGCTAGATAGCGCTCTAGATCCGTTTGCACGTGTATCGCTCATTAATCATTAATTATAATTAGGATCACTATATAGTATCAAACGTCTGTTGGAGGACTTCTCGCACAGTCAAACAAAACACCCAGAAATATAGCGGACCGTCTATAGACGGACAGTCATCAACGTCTCCGGGCATCTCTGACCAGTAACGTCATCCTGCATCCATAGATGGCCAATCACTCCAAGATATCAAAGTGGGGAGCCATCACGCAGGTCGATGCATCGGGAACGTTTCCATGGAGTGGAGGGGGGCATTGCAATGGGAGTGGAGGTATAAAGCAGGGTATAAACAGGGATATAAATCAGATACGAGTCAAAGGCATAGATCAGAGGGAGAGGGTATATGTCGAGGGGAGGGAATCAGAACAATGACGAAACAACAGAAAGAAAATCAGCAAAAAAAGAAAAGAAAGAGAGGAAAGGAAAGCAAGAAGACTATAACGACGACCACCCCATCTGCACATCGTCCATAACATGCCTATGAACCGCTGGCAGCGCACAAACCTGCAAATCCTTCCCCAGTGCCGCAAACAACCTCGCCAAATACAACACGCCCCTAGCGGAGAGATCCCTGCCGCCCACAGCGGCAGAAGGAAAATAAGAGCGTGGCTCCAGATAAAGCAGCACGGACGACCAGCGGGGCAACTTCTCCGCAAGCATACGAGCCGCACGGTCATAGTCGCGGAGTCGACGCTTAGGCACGCCCGTCTGGGCATGGACGAAGAAGCAGACCTCGAAGCCGACGCTGCGGATGCGACGGCGGGCGGTGTCGCTCAGGGTATCGAGGAAGGCGCCTAGGCGGTCGAGGTTGAACGAGTTGAGGAAGAAGAGCGTGTGGTGGGAGTAGAGCAGGTCTTCGACCTCCTCGTGGATTTGACGGTTGACGGAGAGGAGGGCGCGGACTTGGCCGCCTTCGCCGACCCAGCTGGGACACATGGAGAGGGCGCGGTAGCGGCCTCGCGCCGTGAAGGCGTTGGTGCCGCGGTCGTTGACCACTATCAGGGGTTTGTCGATGTTGTAGTCATTCGGGACGGTTAGGGCGTAGTCGTAGATTATCTGGCGAAGTTCGAGGGGGAGGGCCAGGAGGGGGAATCGAGCCTCTCGCTTTGGCTCTCGCTTTGGCTTTGGAGGTCGTGTTTGAGGGGTTGGTAGGTAGGGGATTGCCCTTGAACGATTACATGATATGGGTGGTAGAGGAGAGATGTTCTTGCGATGTGAATGGGATAGACGACACATGGTCTGCGCCATACTTGTAGAATAAGAACAAGTCTATACACGGATCAAAGAAACACAGATTATACAGGATATCTGCCAGAATATCTATCAGGAAATTAAAGAAAGAAGAAAGACATATATAAGAAAATTCTTTCTTCAACCATCATACTATGACTATTAATCAAATGAATAAGAAAAAAAAAAA